ATATGCTCAATTAATATTTGACAAAGGTGGCAAGAGCACACAGTGGAGTAAAGACAGCCTCTTTAATAAATGGTGTTGGGAAAATTGGACAGCTACATGCAAAAAAATGAAACTGGACCATCAACTTACACCATACAGAAGAATAAACTCAAGATGGATAAAAGACTTAAATGTGACTCATGAATCCATAAAAATCCTAGAAGAAAATGAAGGCAATAAAATTTCAGACATTATACGCAGCAGAATTTTCACTGATACATCACCTAAGGCAACAGAAACAAAGGAGAAAAGAAACACATGGGACTACATCAAACTCAAAAGCTTCTGCACAGCAAAAGATACAATCATCAAAATAGAAAGGCAACCCACTGTATGGGAGAGCATAACTGCCAATGATATATCAGAAAAGAGGTTAATTTCCAATATATATAAAGTGCTCATACACCTCAACAAAAGGAACCCAAAGAACCCAATTTAAAAATGGGCAGATGAACTGAATAGACACCTCTCCAAACAGTACGTACAAATGGCTAAGAGACATATGAAGAAATGTTCAACATCACTAATCATCAGAGAGATGCAAATTAAAACAACAATGAGGTATCACCTCACACCTGTCAGAATAGCCACCATCAACAAATCATCAAACAACAAGCATTGGCGAGGGTGTGGAGAAAAGGGGACTCTAGTGCACTGTTGGTGGGAATGCAAACTGGTGCAGCCACTATGGAAAACAATATGGTGTTACCTCAAAAAATTAAAAATTGAACTGCCATTTGACCCAGTGTTCCACTTCTAGGAATATACCCTAAGAATCCTGAAACACCAATCAGAAAGAATCTATGTACCCCCATGTTCATAGCAACACTATTTACAATAGCTAAGATCTGGAAACAGCCCAAATGTCCATCTGTAGACGAATGGATAAAAAAGCTGTGGTACTTATACACAATGGAGTACTATGCAGCTGTAAGAAAGAAAGATCTTTTATCCTTTGAGACAACATGGAGGAACCTGGAAAGTATTATCCTAAGTGAAACAAGCCACACAGAGAAAGACAAATATCACATGATCTCACTTATTTGTGGAATATAATGAACATAACAGTCTGAGAAACAGGGTAGTCCCAAAGATGTGGAAGTGGGGTACAGAATGACAATCCCCAGAAGAGGGGCTGGTGGGGGAAAGATAAACCACAGAACTTATATGCATGTATGCATGAACAATGGACAGGGACAAAGCTGAGGACAGGTTAGGGAGGGAGGGGGAGGCGGGAATCGGTGAAAAAGGAGAAACATCTATAACAAAAATAAATTAATTAATTAAAAATAAAATAAAACAATTTTGCTTATGAATCCAAACTTTTAATAAATACAGATTTTTTTAAAAGTTTTCATCAAAAGAAAGAAATTGCATCTGTGTGTGGTGACAGATGTTAAGTGAACATATTGAGGTAATCATTTCACAATGCATACATATATAAAATCTTTACATTGTATACCTACAAGTAATACACTGTCTATGTCAACTATATCTTAATAATAAAAGACACTTAAAGGACTTATTATATCTTGAGTGGTTGATAGTTGTAGGTAGAGCTAAGTCATGAAGCTCTGGAAAATGCACCAGCACTGCTTAGCAATGGTTGAAAATAAGGAAGACAAACCAAATAATTAGTTACATGTTTAAGAGGATGGGGAGACTATAGATTGCATTTACCTAGACTGAAATTTCCTTGTAGGGATTATAATGTTTTTGTTTGTTTCTTGCTTCTTTTCACACTGCAGTGTACAGTAGGTATTCAAAGTGACTGGTTTGAATATTTGCCCAACTGATAAAAGATACAGTTACAAATAACTGGTAATGACTGATCATTTTTAAAATTGTATTTGTTTACTTAATTTTCATTATAGTAGACATAATAGTTTCAGATGTACAACCCAGTGACTTGACATTTATATCCCTTACAAAGTGATCACCACAATAAGTCTACTACTAACCATTTGTCAGCAATGTTATTAAAATATTAGTGACTATATTCCCTACGCTGTACTTTACAAACCTGAGACTTGTTCATAACTGGAAGTTTGTAGCTCTGATTCCCCTTCATTGTCTTACCTATTTCCCAAGCCCCTTCCCCTCTGTATTTAGTTGGTTTCTATATTGTTGTATTTGTTCATATGTTTTTTTTATATTCCACATATAAGTGAAATCATATGGTATTTATCTTTCTCTAGCCAACTTATTTCACCTCTAGATCCATTCATATCACAAATGTCAAAATTGTATCTTTTTTTGGCCAAGTAATATTCCATTGCATATATGCACCAAGTCTTTATCCATTTATCTTTTGATGGACACCTAGATTGCTTCCATATCATGGTTATTTTATATAATGCTTCAATAAACACAGTGGTGTGTGTATCGCTTTTCAAATCAGTGTTTTGGGGTATTTTTTTGATAAATACCCATAAATGGAATTGCTGAGCAGTATAGAAGTTCTATTTTTAATTTGGGAGGGAACCTCTAGACTGTTTTCCATGGTGCTTGCATCAATTTACCTTCCTACTAACAGTGCCTGAGGTTGTCTTTTTCTCCACATCCTCTCCAGCACTTGCTATTTGTTGTCTTTTTGATAATAGCTACTCTGACAGGTATGAAGTGACATCTCATTGTGGTTTTGATTTTTATTTCCCTAATGCATAGTGATGTTGAGCATTTTTTTTTTTTTTTTAATGTATCTGTTGGCTGTCTCTGTCCTCTTTGAAGAAATGTCTATTCAGGCCCTCTGCCCATTTTTTTTAAATAAGGTGTGTGTATATTTTTATGTTGAGTTGTATGAGATTTTTATATGTTTTGAATATTAACTCCTTATGGGATATATCATTTGCATATATCTTCTCCCATTCAGTAGGCTGTGTTTCATTTTTTGATGTTTCCTTTACTGTGCAAAAGCTTCTTACTTTGATGTAGTGCCATATGTTTATTTTTGCTATTCTTGCTTTTGCCTGAGGAGACATATCCAAAAAAATATGGCTAAGACTGAGCTTACTACTTTAGTATATGGTGTAAAAATCTCTCTTTTTTTTTTTTTTTTTTTTTTTGCATGTATCTATTCAGTTTTCTCAATATCCTTTAAATTGTTTAGTATTGGTTTTCTCTATTTAGTAAGTTATTTTTTTTTCATTGAGATTATAAAGCCATGAATTCTATGTATGTCAAACTCTATTTTATCAGAGGATATTTGGTCAGCATCGTTAATGCTAAACAGAAAAAAAAAATGTTGCTTTCTTAAAAAGAATACTGAGTGTGAGAGAGTGAGCTAGTGTGTCAGAGAGTGAGTGAAGGTGAAGGTGGACAACCAAACCCAAGCAGTGCAGAGAAACAGAGCAGAAGCTTCCTGTGCTGTGGACGGAGCAGCCGGCTACCTTGTAAGCTGCTCTTCAAGGCGATTCTCACTGCGCTGCAGGGAGGTCCCACCATTTTGGAAAATCTTGGGTCTTCCCTGGGAGGAGGTAGTGGGAGCAGCTAGGGCCCAGTAACCTGACCCCACCAGCACACCTGGCACCATAGGACCAGTGAACACTCTGTGTCAACACAGACAAGTGCACAGTAGTGGAGTTACCAAGGTGCCAGTCGCAGAAGCCATGGACAGCCAGGAGCCCAGCACCATCACCCATAGTAGTAGCCAGATCAGAGTGGAGATATACCCTCAGGAACAGAGGCTGGGAAGCAGACATCCAACCCCAGGCAACAGAAGCACAGACCAGCAGATGAGACCCATCCCGTAAAATTACAGCAAAACCTGAGTAGAAATGAGCCCCATGGGGCAGCAGCGCTCCCAGCCACCAGCCACGGGACCTGGGCTCCACAGAGGCCTGTGCGGTCCAGTAGCTCACAAGAGCAGTGAGAAGCCAGAGCCCTAGAGAGACTGGTGAGATCCAGCTGCCCGCCCGTGGACCTGCAGGGTGCGGGGGCACCAGAGAGGCCTGTGTGACCCAGCAGGGACTGCGCCATTCAGTTACCCCAGGGGACCTGCAGGATGCTGGGGCTTTTAGAAAGGCCTGTGCCACCCAGCTGCACACAAGATAGGCTCAGGGGACTTGAAAATGGAGACGGAGTGATTAGAAGCTAAGCAGACGATCTCCCAGGACCAAACAGGAATTACAACTAAAATTAAGACAAATCCTTGGAAAAAAAAACAACAGAACAGCAGCAGGACAGTACCATATAACCAAGGACACTGGAAGTGTCTGCGGAGGTGCGAGAGGGTGGCTGGCTGGGAGCCCACGAACAGCAGCAGTCTTAGCTGTGAGCAGCGCCCTTGGGAATAAAGACCAAGCCTGTTCCACAGCTCTGAGAGCCTGGACAGAGCGCTAAAATAGCCACAGCCACTCACCTGGGGCTACAGCAGAGGGAGGGCAGATTGGACTGGAACCCTGTGGGGACACCCAGGATTTGGAGGGCACTCAGAGTTTTTGCTGAGTTGCAGCCACAAAGGATGGTGGCCAGGGTGCTCCTTCCCCAAGCTGTGGAATATAATGAACATAACAGTCTGAGGAATGGGCTAGTCCCAGAGATGTGGAAGTGGGGTACAGAATGACAATCCCCAGAAGAGGGAGTGGTGTGGGGACAGATAAACCACAGAACGTATATGCATGTATGCATGAAAAATGGATTTGGACAACAAAGCTGGGGAGAGGGCAGGGAGGGAGGGGGTGGGGGAATCAGTGTGGGGGAAAAGGAGAAACATCTGTAACAAAAATAAATAATTTTTTTTAAAAAGAAGGAAAAAAACAGAACAAAATAAAACAAAAAGTATAATGATATATTTGTACTTGAAGGGTATGTTAACTGTAACTATGGAGTTATAGATAGTCACAGCCACAAGGACAGTTTGAAAAAGAAAAGGAAAGAGAAAGTATTTCTCCCTAAAATTATGCAATTTCAAAGAAATCAGGCCAAATACAACCACCAGACAACACTCAGGGCATTATCTTTGGAGCTGTGCCTAGCCAACCAGCTTGCCTAGTTTCATTTTCTAATCCTTTGTTCTCTGTGTGTGGGGCAGGGGGTATAAGGAAAATTCCCAAAATATGGTAAGAAAGAATCTTATAAGAAACCAACACAGATGAACCAAGAGACAGAACGCTTGCAACATTCTCACTGAAGCAGCGTTGTTGCCAGCCCTGAAAGACTTTATAGTAAAGGTAAGATTGAGGCCAGGGTGGGAAAAGGTTTGCAAGGGTCAGAACGTTTTAAAAAACATTTTATCCAGGACAGGATGCAGTTGAGCCTGGTGTGAACAATGAGACTTGATTAAAAACAAAACTGCGATTCTGTCAGACTGAAAGCAGAATTTGTTAAGCCCCAGCTACGTGTGCTTGCTGCTGAATTAGACAGAGCAGGTTTGGACACTAACCTGGGTGTGGAATATCTGTATGCTGTTTTTTCTTTGCCGACTTACATCCATTTACAAAGGACATGCTTTTCTCTGCACCCGAGCTGTTTCTGTTTCCATTTATCTGTACCTAGATGATCTCCAGGGCACTGGCTATGAGGAAATGGGGAGAATGCATCTTTATAATTTTTCGAAAGCAGTCTTTACAATAAAATAGTAAGGAAATCCAAATATTTTTCTAGTAAGATTTCAGTGACAGAAAAATCGAGGGGATGATGGAGTTTTAGCCTCTGTAGTGAATAATCTATTGTAAAGTGGAAGAAAGTTGTTCTTTCTGATAAGGCAAGGTGAGTAATGAGCATTTGCTGAAATCTCAGCTAGCTTAAAAATGTTTTATCAGGTTATAGGAATTGATGACCAGAAGTTACAAAATAAATGATTACTTTTTTTTTAATCTTCACCCAAGAATATTTTTCTTTCTATTTATTTTCAGATAGAGTGAGAGGGAGAGAGAAAGAGGGGTGAGGGGAGAGAAACATCAAAGTGAGAGAGACACATCGACTGGTTGCCTCCCACGTAACCCCAACCAGGGCCAGGACAAAACCGAAAATGAGGTAAATGCCCTTGACTAGAACTGAACCTTCAACTCGTTGGTCTGTAGCCTGACACTCTAACCACTGAGTCAAACCAGTCAGGGCATGATTAAGTTTTTTTTTTTTTTTTAAATAACTTTTACTCACGTTCTCATTCCTAAAATGATTATGCTTTAAATGTTTTGATTGAAAAGAAGGAACACCAATAGCTGTATAAATTTTTTTTAAAAAAACTATGATTTGTTCAGTAATGCTATATAATGACCTGCCATTATTTAGTGTAATACATGTTGACTGGACTTTACCCTACATTACAGAAAAACAAGCTTAGATGGAATAAAAGCAAGATGTGCAATATAACAAGTAGTGGTCACAACAACTCAATATGGAGATTCAAGAAGGTAAAAACTAAGAAATATAAGCAAGCCAGAAACCAGTGGAGAAGAGTCAGATTCAAACCAGCAATAAATTCCATTCAGGAAATGGTTTTCCATATGCCCACCGAATATTGAAGGATCTCTGAGGTATCCTATAGTAGACCTCTGGCGGGCCGAGGACTTGTTTCACTGTAACCTGCTTTGCAGTCTTGTTATTTTTTAAATAATTTCTTCAGAAACTTAGGTTATGCTGGGGAGTAGTATTCCCAGGTTCAGGAAGCAAAATGACTTTCTCTGCTTAAAGACTGGAAGTTCTAATCCATCCCATCTATTTCCTTGCAGACAAGGTCACACCCTGGCCATGGCCTCCGAGATGCACATGCCAGGCCCAGTGTGCCTCATTGAGAACATCAGCGGGCAACTGGTAGTGAACCAGGAAGCTCTGAAGACCCTGTCTGCCTTCACACAGCCTCTGGTCGTGGTGGCCATTGTGGGTCCCTACCGCACTGGCAAATCCTACCTGATGAACAAGCTGGCCGGGAAGAAAGAGGGTGAGTGACACCAGCAAAGCTCTGCTGAGTGCTTTCTCTTCACCCACACTCCCAGCATGAGTATGAGCCACCAGGAAAGGTGGAGATGGGGAGGAATATTGAAAGGCAATGTTTGGGCTACTGCTGGCTAGTTATCATCTGGGAGATAAAGGACAGAGGTCTGTTCCTGAAATATCACCTCGTTTACTTTTTACTCAGTATCTCATTGGAAAAAACAAAATATTTTCCAATCCTAAGGAGTAAGATACCAATAAAATAGTATATATATTTATATACATATATATAATTATGAACTATTAAAATTTTAGTAGCATAATATTCTTGTAAAAAAAAAAATAAGAGCATCACGTTTTCAATCTGTGGTACTTGATAATCTTACTTTCCCATCTCTCTATTGCAGTTTAGATCAATACTGGTTTTACTGGTTTTACTTTCTTCCATCTCCACATCTTGCTCTCCTTAAACCCTAGTTTAATTGTCAAGGACTTCTCCAGTTTCCAGATCCCCTCATCCATTACCTCTCACCCCCCCTGCAGGCTTCTCTGTTGACTCCACGGTGCAGTCTCACACCAAGGGCATCTGGATGTGGTGTGTGCCTCATCCTGAGAAGCCAGACCACACCCTCGTTCTGCTTGACACGGAGGGACTCGGAGATGTGGAGAAGGTAGGCAACAGGGATTGTGTTGGGATCAACTTTCTCATCTCTGAACTTCTTTACAGAGATTTTTTTTTTTGTACTTCCACTTGACCAGAGCATATCTTTATGATTGCCCCCTTTCTATGTTTAATGGTCAAAGTTTGGAAGCCTAAAGTGAGAAAAATATATTTCTTAGCCAAAGTCATGATGGGGAGCTGGACAGTTAACCATAATGCAGAAAGACGATGCAAATAAATTCATTGTCGCAAGTCTGAGCCTGCAGAGAATCGTGATTAGCACTAGGCTCTGGGTCAGAGGAAATTGAGTTCAAATTGGGGCTCTGGTGCTTTGACTATGACAAGCAAGAGTAAATGTACTTAAATCTTTGATTTGCCTTTGGTCTTATCCATCTTATCATTTCAACATACATGCATTTTTTTCTACCTCTATGCTGGTAAGTGTTTAACAACCAACCTACTGGGGGCAGAGAAGGGACAGCGCTTTGACTTGTAGTACTTGCCAGTTTTCTAAATGCACACCCCCCCCCCCCCATAGCTGATTGCAAGCTTCCAACGAAGTCACTAAACCCAGGCTTTGGAATTGATGTACATGATCAGCTCCTGTGGGCTGGTGTAATCTGGCTCTAATACACAACTGTATGTTTCCCTTCGGCTACCTCTGTTGTTTAGGGTTTTTCTGCTTTTGATTTACCACAAATTCATATGGTAATATGAATTTATGCCCAAGTTTCCTCATCTATAACATGGACATAGTTATAAATCTACCCCACTGTGTAGTTTTGAGTATTAGATAAGATAATGTAAACTGCCTTGGTATAATAAGTTCTCTCTCTCTCTCTCTCTCTCTTTATATGTATACACACACATATATAATGCATATAGGCCACCTTTCTTGTATACAATTGAAAATCTTTATTTTAAGTACTCTAGTTACCCCATTAACTTAGCAAATACTTAACTAATTAAAAGAGGGACTGGGGAGTTTAAAGCATCTGGTTCCATATAAAATAATCAATGCTAGGAGGAGGCAGGATGGCTGTAGTCTAGGGAAGTTCCATCTACTAGTTCCCAGCACCAGATCGGACTTGTGGCAAAACTGCACAACATTCAACTTGAAAAACCAGCTGAAATCCAGCTGATCTGAAATACTGTGAGTGGGGAGCACGGAGAGGGGCAGGGGAAGATGCGGACTGGGTTAGACAACATGCAGCTGGCGGAGGGAGGTGCACAGCCCAGCCCCTGCCCCCAGGGAGCATGGGGTTTCAGCCCCATGCAGGGATTTCCCAAACCAGAGCAACAGAGAAGGAAGGGGAGCCCACATAAACATCAGGCAGTGCTGATTTGGTCTGCCTGGGAGACTCAGACTACGCTATTCCAGGCAAAGAGGGAGTGTTTAGTTACATCATGAGCCTGGGAAGCTCGCCCAGATATGTGTCCATGGGAGGGACCAATAAACAGAACTCCGGGCCTGTGCACAGGTCTAAGTGGTTCAGCCAGCAGTGAATCTGAAGGCTGAACCACTGAGGTTATTATTCTCTGAAAGAACCTTCAGCAGAGACCAGGAAGGGGGCCAGAGAGAGTGCCCTGGAAAAGAGGTGCAGGCCTCTCCACCTGGAGGCAAGAAGAGGAGTCCCCTCTCCCACTTGTGGAAGGGCTCTGGGCTGGAAATCTGCAGCCCTGTGGCTTGACCTGTTGCCACAGGGACTCAGACAGCTGGCCTGGTGGGAGCCTGGGCAGCAATCCTTCCTAGCGAGACCCGAGAGCTGGATGTGCTGAAAAATTAGAGAGCCAAATGGGACTGGATTTTGTTTGTTTTATTTTATTTATTTATTTTTTAAACTGCTGGTGGGAATGCAGACCAGTGTAGCCACTATGGAAAACTGTATGGAGTCTTCCTAAAAAAATTAAAAGTGTAACTGCCATTTGACCCAGCAATCCCACTTCTGGGACTATATCCTAAGAATCCCAAAATACCAAGCAGAAAATATATATGCACCCATATGTTCAAAGCAGTGTTATTTACAACATCTAAGATCTGAAAACAGCCCAAGTGCCCATCAGTAGATGAGTGGATAAAAAAGCTGTGGTGCATTCACACAATGGAATGCTATGCAGCTGTAAAAAGAAGCACCCTTTGCAGCAACATAGATGGACGTGGGGACAATTATGCTAAGTGAAAAGGCTAGTTAAAGAAAAACAAGTATCGCATGATCTCACTTATATGTAGAATCTAATGAACAAAATAAATCGATGAACAAAATAGATCAAGAGATATGGAAGCAGGGAACAGACGGATGAATCTCAGAAGGCAGCAGGGGCTAAGGGAGTGCAGGAAGAAGTTAACCGAAGAATGTACATGTATGTATGCATAGCCCAAGGACACAGGTAATTGTGCAGTGAAAACCTGGGGTGGAGCAGGAGCTGGGTAAAGGCAGGAAGAAGGGGTAAAATAGGGGACATCTGTAATAATGTCAACAATAAAAAATAAACCTAAAAAAAAAAAAAAAATCAAAGCTGGAATCCAGAGAGACAAGTCATCCCAAATCTGAGGCAAATGCCATACAGGAATATAAAATTCACATACACTGAAATTCTTATTTTATATGTAGTTTAATGCATTTGTTTTATAATTGATTAATATTTATAAACAAAAAGATTCTAGTTTAATTTAAACAAATTTTCCTTTGTAGGGTAGGTAGTCTTTTCCTAAAAATTGATTTCCTTATATAATTGAAGTTTGGAAAGAACTATGCTATGTTTGCCATTTTGTAAATATGATAGGATAATTAATACTACATGCTGTATAAACCTCCAAATTTCAGTGACACTTTTTTGACGGTTAAAAGTGTTCATTGCAACATGCATATATTTTTTAATTAAAATAGAAAATTTCAGAAAATAATAAAATATAAATGTTGACTTAGAAGATTATATATATATATATATATATATATATATATATATATATATATATAAAATGATGACAAAAGTCTGAGAAATGTAGTTTAATGAAGAATCAATGTGAGTCAAAGATATAATTTTTCAGTACAGCATTTCTTTCATTGCTGCTGAGAGGGAATCCAGACATTCTGTGAGTATAGAGAAGGCCCCATTTCTTGTGGTGTTGCAGCAAGTCTTATGTTCTTTACATGTGGAGGGATGGTCCATGCAGGAGCTAACCAGTGTGTACAGCTTGTGGAGGAGGAGTCCAGCCCAGGACGCAACCAGTGGTCTCAGGGATCCTCTGGTGGAGGTGGAGGTAGATGCGGGCAGCACAACTGGCAGCTGGAGAGGCCCAGGTGGAGAGAAGGGAAAAGTGCTGCTTTAAGACCCAGGTCCAGGATCAGGACTTGGCTCCTGGCGACCTGGCAGGTTTGGAAAAGCAGCTCGTGAGGTGGAGATTTTCACAACCTCTTCCAGGGACTTGAGCGTCTTTAGCATCTCTGCCATCTCCTCCTCTTGCCTAGAGCCTTTAGATCTCTCTTCCTTCAGTTTGTGAACCAGGGACGTCATTTCCTGTCTCGGGGTCCAGTAGGTCATGGTCACCTTTCTGCAAACGTCACAAGGCCGGGTATATTTAATGATTCTTTCTCAAACCTGGTGACTTCTAAAGATGACTTGATCTGCACACTCTTCTCTCGCTGCACTCAACTTGTCCATGAGCTGGCATTTCTCCTCTATCTATCTGGCCAGGGCTTTTGCCAGTCGACATAAAGTCGACTTTGAACAGACTGAACAAGTCTGACTGTAAATACCAGACCCACCAGGAAGCCAATGACAGGTGGACACACCAGTATCTCCCACTAGAGGAGGTGGACAGGAAGGCGGGGACTCTGACCATTGGACAGCAGTTCAAACGCATCCTCTCCCAGCTTTCCAAGAACTGGGCCAAAGCCCAGCTCTACAGAGGACCACAGAACCTCCAAGGACCATCCATACAGGGTCTGCCTAGTCACCATGGAGCCTCCGGCCACAACAGATCCAGTGATAGATACCCCAACATTCCACCTGGAACCAGCCAACAATAGCAACCCTGATGGGTCATCAGTGATATGGTTGACATGGGAGGAGATGTGCAAATGATTTTCCTCATCTCCATGACTACCAAAAGATCATTCTCCATCCCTACCTGTATATTTTTATATCAGTATAAATTGAAACAGTGAAAATAGCAAAATAAAGTTATCGATGCTAATGACAGAACTAGTCTATTCAATGTATATGCTTCTCAAATCATTTTACTCTGTCTCATTTAACACTGTAGGTCATGGGCTAATTTTGAATGATTGCTCATCTGGAACTGTCATGAGATGTGACTTAAATTTGTTTTGACTTGTAGAATGACAAGAACAATGATACTCAGATCTTTGCACTGGCGATACTACTGAGTAGCACCTTTGTTTACAACACCATGAACAAAATTGACCAGAGGACCATCGATTTACTGCAGTATCCTTTTATGATTCAGGATGACACCAAAGCCAGAGAGAAATCTTCTATCCACCAGCTGTGTTTATAAGTCCTTAGAATCAAACACAAAAATAAAAATGTGATAAACATTAAAAGTAGAAGAAAAACATCCCTTAAATTTACTGATGATGTGATGAATTGGTTACCTCCAAAAGAGAACAAAGTGGTATAGGGATGTATGGAGTTCAATACGGGCTTAGCTGCAATCCCGTTTCCAACCTGCTTTCCTTAATTATATCTCAGTTATGTAACAGAGTTGTCCGATCTGCTCAGAAGAGTATCTTCAACGGATCTTGATGGGGTTGAAGATGCAGTTGATGCTGTGAGCTTCCGTCCAGACTTAGTGTGGACTCTGCGAGATTTCTACCTTTCCCTGGAAGCAGATGGGCAACAGATCACAGCAGATGACTACCTGGAGAATTCACTGAAGCTGAAAGAAGGTAGCAGGGCCTTCAGTTTTGGAAAGAGAGAAAAGTAATACAACCATATCTCTGGGTGTAGGTGGTTACATGGATAATTTCCTATATTTAATCACCTGGCTAAACTGCCAAGTAAATAATTAATACTACTATCTTAAATGAACTAATAGATTCACTATGAAATTGTGTTACTCATCGATTTGGGAGCAAACTATTTTTGTTCTTCCTTTCCTCGTTGGGTTACCTTTTAACATTTTGCTTAGGGTTTGTGGAGATGTTGAAATAAATCACTAAGGAGGAAGGCAAATTTATTTATAGAAAATACATTAAAATAAATGCTAGTCTTATACTAAATAAATCCTATGTTTTTTTCCCCAGACACTGATCAAAGTCATCAAAATTTCAATTTGCCCCGTCGTTGTATACAGAAATTCTTTGCAACAAAGAAATGCTTTGTCTTTGACCAGCCCATTCACCGGAAGAAGCTTGCCCAGCTTCAGACACTGCAAAACGATGAACTGGATCCTGACTTTGTGCAACAACTGGCAGATTTCTGTTCCTACATCTTTCACCATTCCAAGACTAAGTCTCTTTCAGGAGACATCAAGGTCAATGGACCTCGTGAGTGCCTTTTTAAGAATTTTCCTTCAACTCCACATAAAGAATAGGGCACTGTTAAAAGTTTCTCCTATCAATGTCAATGTTAAAAATGCATAGTCAGTTACTACCAAGAAAATTGTATGAATCACATTTATTAAGTTCAGTGGGTACCAAAAACATCCCTAGTGATTTTTTTAGTGATGCTTCTAAAGTAGGATAAGATAGGAATATAGTCTGAAGAAAATGTCAAGTTAAAGAGTTCTATTGAGCCCTGGCTGATCTGGCTCAGTGGTTAAAGTGTCTGCCTGTGGATCAAAGGGCCATGGGTTTGATTCCCATTCAAGAGCACATACTTGGGTTGCACGTTTGGGAGGCAACCAATCGATGTGTCTCTCTCACATCGATCTTTTTCTCTCTCTCTCTCCCACTGCCTTCCACTCTACCTAAAAATCAATGAAAAAATACTCTTGGGTGAGGATTAACAACAACAAAGAGTTCTATTCATACGTGGCCCACTGCTGCACTAGACTAACCACATATACACCGGATACTTATTATGTCACAGTCTTTGATAAGCACAAGATGGGAACATACACGTTTCTCTGTAGAAATGGAACTTATTTGATACAAACCTCAAACAAACAAAGGCTCAAGTTGTCTAGCACCCTAAAAGAAATCTAAGTAGACATCTTGGTCCAGTTTTTTTCTAAAGACTTTGTCTCACAACCTTATAAATTATTGCTATGCTCTAGAGAGCAACAATTTTCAACAGATGTGCCTCAAGAATTGTTAAAACATTCAATACCTGACTATTTTCTTAGAGGCACTGACCTCTTTTCCCTTTGATTGTCAAATAAAATTTTAAAAATGACAACAGCCAACACAACAATAGCCATCTGGTGTGAATGAATCAAAATGATACCTTTTTTTTTTTGTCAGATTCACAATATATATCTATATATTTTGGTGTGCCGCAAATTTTAATAATTAGCTTATGTGTGACATGAGATGAAAAAGGTTGAAAATCACTGCTCTAGAGGGTCGATGAGTGAAAATAAAAGTATGCAAATCAAAAGGAAGACAAATAGGAAATTCTAACAGAGAGTAATGCGACCTAGTCTGGTTTGCTCACTTTGTGGTTTTTCAGCTAACACGTCCCAGCTTTACATACTGAAGTGGAAAAGAAAGGGGAATTCTGAAGGGAAGTGAAACCTGTGGAAGAGGGAAAGAAAGGAAAGAGTAAACAGGCAAAAGGTCTATAGCAATCTAGTCAAATGAATACTCATAACAAAAAACTTCCTCATTTCTAAACAGAAAAAAAAATAAATGGCATGTGGATGATCACATAGATCTTGAGATTTATCCTTTGAACACTTTCTTTTCCCAAAGAAGGAAAGATCTGGCCTCTTAGCTATGCTATTTTCTGAAAAGAACTAATCTGTGCCCCTTGAACACTATATAGAGAACTGAAAAAGCGCAGGCAATACAGTTACATCAACATTCTCAGAACTACCCAGTTTAGAGCATGCTCTCTTTTTCTGCAAATAATGCAAGCATCTCTTTCCCCTGTGAAGATCTAGAAAGCTTGGTGCTGAAATATGTCAATGCCATCAGCAGTGGGAAGCTGCCCTGCATGGAGAACTCAGTCGTGGCCTTGGCCCAGATCAAGAACTCAGCCGCAGTACAAAAGGCCATTGCCCACTATGACCAGCAGATGGCTGGGAAGGTGCAGCTGCCCACAGAAACCCTCCAGGAGCTGCTGGACCTGCACAGGGACAGTGAGAAAGAGGCCATCGAAGTCTTCATCAAGAATTCCTTCAAGGATGAGGACCAAAGGTTCCAGAAGGAATTAGGGGTAATTAATTTCTTTGCTCCCACTCATGGGGCTTACATGTAATATAAGTAAAAGTATTGCTATGAAATGCAAAATGGTGACTAAATTAAGAAAAGCAATTCTCACTAGACTGGAAAATAATGACTATTACTTATTTGACCAAGATATCAGAGTTATTCTTAAAACAGACAAACAAACACATAAGCACATAACTATTCTGGGTCCTGTGGATTCTGATATGTTCACACACATACAACTCACCATGTTAAAGAATAAAATGAATTTTATTTTTTTAAAAATTGTATTCATAAAGTATTAATTAACTTTTCTCTTCTATTAATCAACTAGACAGAATTGCCAAGTGGATGTACTAAAATATCATGTCTTCGGGCTTAACAGCATACACTCATATCATTCTAGTCAATAATTCCACATCACCTCCTCATTGGGAATCCGGGGCCTAGTAAATTCTGAAACAAGGAATGGTTGTAAACGAGTCGGCTGCATTCAAAATGAGGGCATGAGGCTTGAGATCTGCATTCTGAAGATCACATCTAAAGCAGAAATAGCAAGAGAAAGGGGTTTCAGGAGATCTGAAAACAAAACTAAAGTCATTTTTCTACTCTGTATCACCCTTGGAACTTTTCCTGGTTTGGTAGCAAGGGTGTAGTCTTGTTGTACTTCTCTAGTTTCTAGAAACACAATCGAGAATCATTTCTAGAAGTACTGAAGTGTCGCTAACATCTTTTCCATGGGTCTTTGTCCCTTTGAAGACCTTGCTAGAAGAAAAACAGAACCACTTTTGTAAGCAGAACGCGGAGGCCTCATCGGAGCGTTGCTCAGCTTTACTTCGGGATATTTTTGGTCCTCTAGAACAAAATGTGAAGCAGGGGATTTATTCAAAGCCAGGAGGGCATTGCCTCTTCATTCAGAAGACAGAAGAGCTGAAGGCAAAATACTATCAGGAGCCCAAGAAAGGAATACAGGTATCCCTAGTTTCATATATTAATTGTGAAAAATTGTTGGGAGGTAGGGGCAGGCTTCTTTCAAAAGACAGGAAGAAAATATTTATACTCTACTGATAGCTGTGCAATTAAACTGAACTATCACCATAATCACCAGACTTTTACTGCGAACAAAGAGACTTTTGGGGTTACATAGGACAGAATTCCAGCATTTAAAACTAATTTAAGAAAAAAAGGTAATTCATTGGCTTACTTGAAACAATTTAAATTTAGTGGCAACTACAGCAACATTCAGGAATTGAAACAATGTCATCGGTTTTCCCCTTCCTTTTTTTCTTCCCAACTTCCACTTCCTTTTCTGTTCTGTCTTCCTGGATAATGGCTTTATATTCAGACAGCAAAGACAACACCAACATCTCCAAGCTTAATTAAATCTTCTGCCCTCAGTCTCAGGAAAGAGAGAGCATCCCCCCCCCCCCCCCGCCCCAGCATCTGTATCAGTCTTTCAAACACCCAAGTTGAGCATTTTCTCACCTGTACTAAAACTGTTCGTATCAAGTGGACCTGGGTACTCTGATCAGCCCTCCCAGAGTCTGTGCCCACCCCTGTGACAGAAGAGGCTTGGTTGACTGTTCCTCTTAAGTGCTGGCCGAGGAGCTCTGGGGAGGAAAAGATATTGGGAAGAAAAAGAAATAAAAAGGTTTACAACATGTCTCATCAGCATTTCCTACTACTCACTGCATGATTTGGGGGTTTCTAGGCTGAAGAAGCTCTGCAAAAATATTTAGAGTCCAAGAAGTCTGTGAGTGATGCCATTCTACAGACGGACCAGGCTCTCACAGCGAGGGAAAAGCAGATGCAAGGTGAGAGGCAGCAGGAAGCGATGTGAGACAGAACTCGCTGCACATTTTTAATTAATTTGGCCTGGTTTGCATGGGATCATTACACTAGAGCGAGAAAAGCTTTATCTGAGTAGGGTGGGTACTGTCCACTGAAAAGGAAAAATGGCTCTAGGGAATGTTGTCTGTGCAGCAGCAACAATAACAAACAGGAGCAAAAGACAGAAGGAAGGGACACTTGAATTCTAGAGCGGTTTGTCCTTGTCTTCTTTCTCAGAAGCACGTTTGAAAGCACAGGCTGCAGAGGCTGAAGCACAAAGGTTGGCGGAAGCTCAAAGGCAGCACCAGCAAATGATGCAGCAGAGGGAGAGAGAGCATCAGGAGCACCTGAGACAAATGGAGATCATCAGAGCCCAACGTCAGGCAGAAGCGCAGAGGGCTTTGGAACGCCGGCTCCAGGTACTCACCCGTTATTTCATCTCAGAATTGAACCATATCTCCCTCTCTGTCTCCATAAGAGCAGGCAGCAATGACAAAGGCAGAGGCAGCATAATATTATGGCTCAGGACAAGGACCCTAGAGTTAGACAGCCTGATAAGAAGCCCAGCTCCACATCTTACTAAATATATGGTTTGGGCGAGTTATCTGTCCCCTCTTTTCCTTGGTTTTCACTTGTGGAAAATGGAGACAGTAATAGTACCTGTGTGGTAGCGTATTTTAATAATTAAATGAGTCAGGATTTGTGTTGAGATTGGTGCTGAGTACAGAATAAGCACTATACTTCGTTAAATAAAATCCAAGGACATTTCTAACTCACAGTAGTTAGTCTCTTCTGTTATGTGGTTTATTGCTATAAATAACCTCTTTTGGGTCATAGATTACCTTGTTGAATTAACTTCATATGACTGTGTCGATGTCCCTGTCTTTGTCTTAATTGTCACTTGTTCTGAAGGCTTTTGACTTGCAGAGTTTGTTTCATCCAGTCCCTTAGTCTCATCACCACTCATTAAGCAGTGGTTCCTATTTACCAAGTTCTGTAGAAAATCCTTCACATGCATTCCCTCATCCTAATCTGTTCACTGAGGAGCAGAACCATTATGTCTCCATTTTTCTTATTGAAAGCATCTCGTTCCAAAGAGATAACTAAATGCCACTATCACACAGCCTCGCCAGTTATCCAAACTGCCTTCCTAGTGAGTGAGAACTGCACTGCTTTTATTTCTGAAAACCTAGCATGAAATTCTTATGTGAGCACCTCCACCAGGGTGACCAGTCTACCTGTAGGTCCTAGTTTTCCAGGTGATATTCCAAGACCTTTTTGTGATTACAATCTACACTGAAGGGCAGTTTGGTCAACCTAGAGTTCTTAATCCCTCACTATTTCCCCTACTTCTCCCCATAATTGTGGAGAGCTGAAACAAATTCTCTGCTCCAAGGCTCAGACTCTTCACCTGATGGTGAATGTCACCTGGACGCCCAGTTGTTGCATTAGCCTGTCCTGGGAGAACTAGATCTGACATTCTTCTGTATACAAACGATCACTGAGGTCAAGGTGTGACTCAGACTGCCCAAGAAGGAAGGGGGAAGGGACCTCAGGATGTAATTTGTGAGACACCCAGTCTTAGGAATTGAGAGATGGTGATGTTTCTGCCGCTAGAGAAAGAGATATGGAAGAATTACTCAGGTAGGAAACCAAAACTGAGAAGTAAAATGGCCATGAATAGAAAAAAATAATTCAGGGGCTGTCTTTTGTTTTGATGGCTTAAAATAAATAAGGAAAGTCAATAATTTTGGCCTATTCCCTGCACCCCACTGATGTGGATATTACTGTTTGTTAAGCTTTTTATTTTTATTTATCACTCTCCAGGAAGAGGCTGAAAAGCAGAAGGCAATGATTCAAGCTGAACAGATGAGACTTCAGAACGAGGTCCTGAGGCTACAGCAGAGCATCCGCTCACACAATGATGATTGTATCTTGTTATAAAGCTAAACATCAGAACTTCTCTTCAGGTTCACCTTCACTGAAGATAGAAGGGAACTATCAAACTTGGGAGAATTTCCATTTAAATAAGTTTTATAATAATTATATCAAGCTTTTGTGTTGTTATGAAGTTATGATGCTCACAATTGGTAAAATGTGTATTTCAGTGGCTTAAATGATGATTACTTTCTTAAGGAGATTATGAATTATAATAATATAGGACATTTGACCACTGTGTTTTTTTGGCAGAGATATTGGACTGTTTCTCTCAGGGGAAACTTTCTCTTGTGCCTCAACGCCACCTCCCTGCTTTTCTCAGGGGATACTGGAAGTGACCTAGGGGTGTGGCTCACAACAGGCTGTCACGTGGAACTTGATCAAAGTCTTGAGCTCAGGTGGGCATCACTCCTGCCAAGTAGTGGATGCTGGATGTGATCCGAGGGAAGCATCAATTAACCTAGCTTCTTAGTGGAGACATGTATGGTTCTCAACTGGGTAGAAGCTGGTCAACCTATGGGCAGTGATGTGACTACTGGTCATGGTCAGTAGAGAGTTTGCTTAGATTTCAAACTATAAGCAGTAACACTGAGGTGAAGCAGAGGTGCTCCAGAATATGGAAGGAACTACCACCATGCAAACTGTGTCATAGGCCTCAGAGCTAAAGAAGCCTTTCCTTTATGTTACCCTCACCAAGGGCATAACTTAAACAGGATTTTATATCACAAAGCAATGTACACTGGATTAAATAAGTGTGTGCTGTGTCTTCATAATCTAGAGCCTGTAGATGAATGGTACAAGGAATGCCAGATAATGTGCCAAAATATCTCATGGGCTCATTTTATTTTATTCTTATAATGCTGTTTTCTTAATTGTTTGCCACCATATATGAAAGCCTACTGATTTTCCTTAAAAACTATGAATTGTATACATATATGTCTATACATTATTTTAACCATAAAGATCCATAAAAAATTTAAATGACTCTACTACTTTGTTTCCCTAGTTGTTAAAAGTATGTGGAGGCCTGTAGAGTTTCCCTAAGAAGATTAAGAATTACTTTAATACTGAAAATAAAACACATTTATCAGTCTTTTTATTTGTTTTTTATTTCTTTGTTTTGTCTACAGTAAAATGGGCTTCAAAAATTATAAATTCATTACATAAAGCTTTATGTTTGTTTTCCTTAAATTTTTTATTTATAGAAGGTATTTCCCTCTTGGATTATATAATAGGAGCTTCACCTGTTTTAGTAGCTCAAAACATAATTTACTTATTTACAAAAGAAAATCAGATACATTTTAATCTGTCTTTTTTTTTCAAACTTATCTTTATTGTTGAATGTATTACAGATGTCCCCTCTTTTTGTCCCCAATGATCCCCTCCTCCCCAAACCCTCCCCTACTACTGTCTTCCCCACACTGTTCTTTGTGTCCATTTGTTGTGCATATAAGCATCGAAGTTCCTGGTTTATCTCATCCTGCCCTCCCTCCCCACTTTCCTTCAAGATTCATCAATACTTCTTAATCCCTACATCTTTTTCATCCAACCCTCCTCCCATCTTGTAAGCAACAATAAGTTCTCTGTATCTATGAGTCTGTTTCTGTTCTGCTTGTTCATTTTGTTTGTAGATTCAATTGTTGATAGATACGTATTAATTACCATTTTATTGTTCACATTTTTGTTCTTCTTCTCCTTCAAGAGGACCCTTCAACATTTCATATAATACTGGTTTAGTGGTGATAAACTCCTTTAGCTTTTTCTTGTCTGGGAAACTCTTCATATGCCCATCGACTGACAATGATAGCTTGGCAGGATACAGTAATCTTGGTTGTAGGTCATTGCTTTTCATTACCTTGAATATCTCTTGCCACTCCTTTCTGGCCTGTAAAGTTTCTTTTGAGCAATCAGCAATAGTCTTATGAAAGCTCCTTTGTAGGTGATGAACTGCTTTTCTCTTGCTGCTTTTAAGATTCTTTCTTTGTCTTTAACCTTTGCATTTTGAGGATGATGTGCTTTGGTGTGGACCTCTTGGGGTTCATCTTGTTTGAGACTCTCTGTGCTTCCTGGACTTGTATGTCTGTTTCCTTCAACATGTTAGGGAAGTTTTCTATCATTATGTTTTCAAATAGGTTTTCAATTTCTTGCTCCTTCTCTTCTCCTTCTGGCACCCCCATGATGCGAATGCTGGCATGCTTGAAGTTGTCACAGAGGTTCCTTACACTAACCTCATTTTTTTGGATTCTTTTTTTTTTTTCTTTTTGCTGATCTGATTGCGTGTTTTTTGCTTCCATATATTCCAAATTGATGGTTTGTTTCTTGGCTTTACCTACTCTAGTATTGATTCTCTGTAAAGTATTCATTATTTCAGTTAGTGCTTCCTTCATTACTGACTGGTCCTTTTTTATGTTGTTGATGTCCTTACTAAATTCCTTGAAGGTTTTTCTCCTTAAGTTCCTTGAAGTTCTCATTATGTTTTTTGAAGTTCTCACTAAGTTCCTTGAGTATCCTTATAACCAGTGTTTTCAACTTTGCATCTGATTAATTATTTATCTTTATTTTGTTTAGTTCTTTTCCAGGAGTTTTGTTTTTTCCTTTCATTTGGGACATGTTTCTTTGTCTGCTCATTTTGGCTGCTTCCCTGTGTTTGTTTCTATGTATTAGGTAGAGTTATTATGTACTAGGTAGTGTCTTGTAGGATCTAGTGGTACAGCCTCACTGACCACCCAAGCTGGGCCTTCAAGGTGCACCCCTAGTGTGGACTATACACCCTTCTGTTGTAATTGAGTCTTGATTGCTGTTGGCATGTCAATGGGAGGGACCCACTCAGGCTGATCAGCTGCAAGACTGGTTGTGCCCACTGACCACTGGCCCCCAACTAATCTGAAGGATCAGCTGTATAGGGGCCCACCACGCAGACTTACTTCAGCAGGGCTCTGGTACCCACTGGCTTTACTCATTGAGCATGTCACTTGTGGAGGCGGTCGAGCAGCAGTGCCTTGACGTGGTCTGAAGCTGTCCCCTGGGTGTGCTGGGTCTGGGTCCAGGTCAGCCACTGCCTGTGTTCCAGCTGGGGCCACCTGGCATAAGCAACAAAGTGGTCTGCCAATGGCTGCTGCTTGTGCTGGGCTTAGAGGTGCCCAGGCAAAGCCAAACTGTCGACTAAGGCTGACTACTTATTGTGCTGGGCCTGGGGTGACTCAATGAGAGGTATGGGGCTCGCACTTGCTTCCCAAGTGCTCAGCATGTCACATGCATGACTCATATAATATGTCCATAGAGATATCTGCGATGATCATTCTGTTTTGGTGGGTTAGGGCATATATGTCTGTTGTATATATAATTAAGAGTGAAATGTGCAGGCTATTAGCTACTTATGTTCAGCTTTAGTAGAGAATTTCACTCTTCTGAGAAGACTTTAAATCATCCTCAAAATTATAGTGATTTCTAAAGCAGAAGTAGCTAATCAGGAGCAGTATTTTTAGGCTATAACGATGTGTATGTGTTTAAAAATGGAGCCTACTGATAGTAAACATTTATATCTGTTTAGAAATTATATTCTCCTTTAAGCTAGCAAAATACTTTGTGCAATACATCATGTTATAAATACATATTTCTGATTCAGCAGGCTTTGTATAACACCCCAAGAACAGGAGGAGCAGGATGGAAAAGAGGGGAGAAGAGAAAAAGGAGCATAAGGCATAAGAAGAAAACAGAGGAAAAGGGGCAAAGGATGGTGATTCTGCCATACCTCTAGAAAATATGTTGGGCATGTCATCTCAGGAAAAGTGGGCACTACTGTTAAAATAACACATCTCTTCAGTTCAAAGGGATCACTGTTGTCCTTCATGTCTGAAGGAATTCTCCTGAGTAGCTGGTTCTTTCAGTGACCTAACTCTAGTGTTGGATTTGGACCAGCACATCTCAAGTAGTATGAGGGAAGACCTTTTAACAGCCAGAACCTAGGATGTCCTGAAACCTTGAACTGTAGAAAGCATTCAGGGGGGACTTGGAGCAGGCATTTTAGAGTCTTATATATCTTTTGATGTGACTTTTTCATACATTCTGCTGTATTAATCAATTCTGTTTTATCAACACAATGCCAATTTTGAAGGCCTTGGATTTATGGTAGTGACAAATAGGCAAAATGAAACTGAATTGCTTTTGACAATAAAATTATTTATTTTATTAATTTGTTTTTGTTACAGATGTTTCTCCTTTTTCCCCCATTGACACCCTTTTTACCATATGACAATAAACTTTAATTAACATGATCACAAGTCACACACACACACACACACACACACACACACACACACACACACCATCCCTCAAGTGAAAATAAACCAGCCTTGGAAAGTTTTGGAAATTTATAATGGCCTTTTCAACTCTACAACCATCTAACCACATTCAGTGTTACCATCTGGAAAAAGATGTCCTAGGCAACAGAGGAGGCCAAATTGTCTAATGATTGTTTCAATTTCACAGATTGGATCTTAAGACCCAGGGTGAAGATGCTCTTTCCAATTGGCCTCGCTTTTGTGACACCAAACCTGTTCCTGGGGAATAAGGTCAGAGCGAGCTGAGGAAAGACCTAGAGTCCAAGCAGTACGTGCAGTAGTGTCTGTGGTGACCATCGATGATATGGCTTGAAGTGAACGCACTGAATGGCAGGTGGAAGAGAAAAGGCACAGTCAGCTGAGCCCATGCTGACAAGGAACAGAAGGAACATCAGCTCTTCTCAGGGAGTAACATAAGAGATCCTTTTGTCTTTTTCATATTTATCAACATGGGATGCCATAACTAGAGGGAAGATAATTTTGTGCTCTTAAGTATTCATCCTGCAAATCGGAAAGCCTCCTACATTTTCATCTTAGTGGTTGACGAGGTTGCTGCTGATACCACCCAGGCTAAAGAAGGCAGGGATTTCAGACGGTTGCTTCCACATGGGCTCCCTGACACTCAGCATTTGGTGGCCTCCTTACCTGCCTC